ATATACCAGTACTACCTATATCTAGTAATACTAGAGCATTCGCCAAGGTACAGGATAGTTCTAGAAAGCAGAGGGCGTGAGAATAGTCACTTGATATCCCTGACGCAACAATACCAATCCATCCACGTACTTAAACTATACTGACATTTCCAGCAGAATTTCGGCTTTTAGCAAAAATAATCATAAAAATTATTTCTCGTTGTATCTAATGTCGACCTATACTTTACTTTGTCGTTTCAACTTTAAAGTTATCCATCACTGTGTCACCCAGTTCTAGAAACCGTCTTCTATAAAAGTCTAGTAGTCTGAAAGGTTTCCGTCTTTTCTTTCCTTTCTGCTTACAACAAGATGGATATAGAAATAAGCAGGCTGACTAAATATTTTACTTTTTCTTGTAGTCTCAGAATCCCCATAGTTTCACTTTCCCATGTAGAAGCCCATTCTAGTACCATTGCTGTTACCTCTATATAATCGTTGCGTTAAACGTTGTGTACATAGTGAGGTCGTTATATTTCTGTGGTATTAAGTCAATGGGTTGTGGGGAGATTACATATTGTTACGTCTATGTTCGTTTGTTAATTTCCCGTAGAAATTCTTTCCGAGAAACTTCAGCGATACAAGTTCTTTCTTAATTAAAACTAGTTTATTCTTTCTCGATACAACTTTGCAATACACAGAATTTCCACAGTCAGTTTAACTTCAACATACGCTAGAATTCACAACGATTCACGCATTTTATTTACGACTTGACTCGATTATCTGTCTCTATATCTGTCTAACTGCAATCCTTTGCCGGGCTTATATATACTGAAATAGATACATCTGGCAAACACGCGGGCCTTCACGATCCTTCTAGAAACTCATCACGTGTTACCAGAGTCACGTGACTTCCACTGTCGTAACAATATCTATGAGATTAAATTCACGCCTAGCTGCGTTTTGTTTGCACGTGTTTTTTTGTTGTTTTTTTTCTTATAACAAAACCATATCGGGCTATCTGCTGTGTCCACCGAGGGGAATCGAACTCCTGATTTTAGCGTTGTAAATCAGAAACTTACCACTGTCTCACCGGAGGGCTTGTTTATAAATATATATGATATTTTTAAACTTTGACTTAATCTGGGACAGGACTAAAACTGAAAGTATATGTATGAATATATGCTTTTTTTTATAACTAACTGTTTTCTTTTTATCAGATGGGAAAAATTATTCAAAAAGTTTAGATGTTTATGTTCATTTGTAATAGTGTGTTTATTTGGTAACTTAACGATTTATTCATTAAATTTCATATTCAAGGCTTTTAAAATATTTCCCCGAAGCAGAATGAGTTTTAGGTTTTCATTTGTCCTTGGTAGTGTTTCCAGTAGGCGGAGCGGAGAAGAGCCTGTGAACTTGTAATTTGTCATGTGACACAGAAGACGATTGCATTGGGTGATGTAATCTTTCAGGTCTAATGCTGAATTTTATTTAAAGCAATGGTAGTATAAGCCGTTTGGCCTTGGTGATAGGAGGGGGTAGCATCTGGCAGTTTGCAGACAGTGCGAGGATAAACATTAAAGTAAGACTTTAGGAGCAAGTGTTCACGTTCAAAAGTCTGAGGCACCGGCCCGAATTGAAGTAAACACTTTTACGTCAGGTAACTTGTAAGGGAAAATGTTAAATTAAGATGTAGTTAGAACTTAGAGGGATTCGGTAGCTTTGGTTCTGTTTTTCAGTGTCTTTACAAATTAAATCGCAGTGAAATACGTAATTCCAAATAAATTGTTAAAATAGTCGTCTCTAAATCCAAAAGCGTAGTAGGAAAACGTAGCGTTACCGGGAGTACGACACTGGGGCTGTTGTGAACATTCTGCCTTGATAGTTGGAGTTGGACTCTGGAGAAAATAATCAGAGTACCGTTACTTACTATCAACGACTGCGTAGTCTATACATACACGTTTAGATACGTGAATAGTAATAGTTTTTCTCGGAAATGTAGATATATGTTAAAACTACTACTAGATATACTATGGACATCGTGGAAAGTGTGTAATGTATTTTGAGTGAGTGACGGTAGTGACACTGCCACTGACGAATGTGGACCTTCTAGACAGTATGTGCTGTTCTTTTGGTTGATAAATGTACAATCATTGCCATTGACATTCTGGTGTGTATAGAACAATACAAACTTTAGACGATGTAGAAAAAAATCTGAATAAACACACCCTGAAGTTTGAAGCATAAAAACATGTTATTTGTTACTGTATAGTGTATACATTCTGGTTTGTACGAAGCAGCAGGGACACATTACCTGTTACTGTGTACATTCTGGTTTGTGCGAAGTAGCAGGGACACATTACTTGTTACTGTGTACATTATGGTTTGTAGGAAGCAGCAGGGATACAGTACTTGTTACTGTGTGCATTCTAGTTTGCAAGAAGCAACAGGAACACTTTACTTGTTACCTTGTAAATTCTGGTTTGCATGAATCACCAGGAACACAATCGCTGGTGACTGCATGAATTCTGAGTTATTTGCAGTAGTAGAAATATTGTCACTGGTTATTTTAAATTGAAGTCCATAAAGAATAAATACCAGATGTATTACATAAAAAGTAAGAGTACATACAGTGGCTACTGTCATCCAAATATAGAAAATATAGATTACAAGATTTGGCAGGGATTGGATTTCTCAAATATTCAAATGATACAGCTCTGATTTTGTCAAAATTTTAAATCTTTAGTTTATTCTGTATATTTCTTTACAGACATGTGCATTAGAAAAACAATTTATTTTTTGATTTTTAGTTTATTATAATACATTTTTATGTGCTTTGACTTAATATGTACAAGTAAGGAATGTAGACTAATGTATTTCAGGTATTTGTAACAACTTCTTACTGAGGGTTGGACAGAATATGGCAGTGTATAAAGATGCAGTTGTTATTGGTAAGTAGTTTTTCATGTCTTCATAATGTTATCAGTGTGATAGTGAAACATAATTTTTTTGTTTCATTTATTGGTAAAAATGTTTACCTTTGTTTCAGGTGACTTACATGTAATGTTGTTTCATATATGTACAATTGTGTAGTATTTTAACAGAGCACACTGACATTTACACGATAAAAGTTTAATTATTACTTACAACAGTTATTTTTTATTATTTTCATCAACCAGTTTTGATTTTTTTCCAATATATCAAGTGCTTTATATGACAGTCTTAGTCATTGTTGAAGATCTAAACACATACAGACAAGTAAGGATTATAAAGTCACGTGTACAGTTACATAGTACAGGTAGTTCTGTATTCCACTTTCATGCTGAGGCTTCTCATCATGCACTTGTGAGCAGATTTTGTATTGTAAGGTTTACAATCATATGAGCTCACACTGGCTTGCAAGTCATAAAATATACCATAAACAGCTAAGAGTTGCAGTTTAAAGTGATATCAATTCAGTTTGTTCAATGATAAAGGTTTTCATTCATTATGTATTAGTGGAGAAGTATAACTATGTTTGTAACCACACCTGTCTTTGTGATCTTTCATAATCTAACCTGCATTACAGAAATGTTAAAAAAAAATAGAATTGTAAAAAAAAAAAAGAAAAGGCTGACTGTAGAAGTTTTTTAATATAAATGAGCATTTGGCTTATAAACAAAACTTACTGATTGTATATCCCTATATAGCAGTATAATAAACTATAAGGGGTGACTATTCTTATTATTGACCTACTGAAGTTTCCAACTGGCCAGTGTCTGATTAGTTATTGCATGTAAACTAGTGTGTTTTTGTATTATCTATTACCAAAAGATTCAAAGAAGAAAGTTGGAAAACCTGAAATACTGGTTTGTGATGAAAGAGTGAGAACATAGTTGTATAAAAACAATATTTAAAAATATGTTTTAGGTTTAACACTGTACCTGAATAGTCATATTATATACAAATCTGGATAAATGTTACAATTATATCCAGTTGTACACTATACAAAGTTGAACTTGGTGTATAGTGTACTTGTGTAGTCAGATTCTACACTTCACACATCTGAATAAATGATATATTTTACATGTGTATATGTCATAATGTACATTATAGTTCAGGGGTAATTGTAACCAAAGCAGACAAATGTTCCTTACTATAAGGGATGTAGTGCTGCTGGAGCATTGCTCCAGAACCTAAAATTGGAGCTGAGTCCTGACACTTCAAAAACTAAAAAATATGTATGTAAATAAATAAAATATTCAATTTATGCCCAAAATTAGATTCTTTGCATAACCAAATACTGGCTATTTGTGACCCCCCAATGTCCACTGGTAGAGCTCTGTCAGACTGTCCAGCACACACACACACACACACTATCACTTTTTCCTCAGGAGCTGACATCAAGCACTGTGCAACTGCTTTAGTTCAAGAGCAGGTGTCAGAGCATTAAAACATTGAAATGTTTTTTATCCTATGTCACATGCTTATTAACACACATAAGTATAGTATTAAACACTTAGTAAAATGCATTTTACAATTATAACATAACATAATGTTTAGGGACAACAAGGGACCTATTGGTACATCTCAGCTGTCCCATCCTCTAAACTGAACTAAAACTATTTTTAAAAAATCTTAAAGCAGCCCTTATCATTTATATATTTATCAAGCTTTCTCATAAACTCACTTACATTACTGCCTCCACAATATCCAAAGGTAACCCATTCCAGATGCCACCACCCTGTTAGAAAAATAAAACTGTCTTAGCTGAAGATGGCTCCTACCTTGCCAAAATTTATATGTCTCCTGGTTCTACTATTCTTACTATTACTTAAAAATAGTAACAAGTGGCTTACATATCCAATCCTTACTTCCTTAAAAACCCTTGGGGAAATGTTATCTGGAGCAGAAGCCTTATCATTTTTTTAAACTTCCCAATTTTTTCTTAACCACCTCAGAATTAATGCAGTCATCTTTTTTTATCTTGTTTCTATCTATCAACTGTTCAAGATGTGGAATACTGCATACATTTTCATTAGTAAAAACAGAAGAAAAAAGCAAAATTTAATAACCCAGCCATCTCATAATCATCAGAAACAAACCTTCTTTTATCATTCCTCAAGGGTCCTACCCCATCATTACATTTTGTTTCCCCATAGTGTATTTAAGAAATCTTTACTGTTAATTTTTACATTTTCAGTCAACCTTTTTTTCATACATCCTTTTTGATTACCTAATTTCCTGTTGGACCAACTTTCTTGATCTTCTATAACCTTCTAAATCTTTCATCATATCAGCCAATTTAAATTTCTTAAATTTGTGATGCTTTTCTTTAATTTTTTCTCTTATACACTTTGTGAGTCAACCTGTTTTTTTATTTGTAGCCACTCTTTTCTTTCTATAAGAAATATGTTTATCATGAATATTTAAAAAATTTCCATATTTGACCAGTAAATACTCTATATTTAAAATGCACATATTTTTAAATGGCTTATTATTTACATCATATACAGTGAAGGTAGCTTTTTTTTTAATTATTCGTGTTAGCAGAACAGAAGGTGTACAAAGCATTACAAAACTAAAAGTGAAAACGTTGTTGATACTGCAGTGCAGCTAAAAATGTAAGAAGTTACTAAGATATGTATTTTTAAAACTTGTTTTAATAGTAGTGATTTTTATATGATACTCAGCTGTTTTTTTTTTAACTCGCTGTGAAGTTGAGTTGCACGTTTTCTCTCAGCAATACATGTGTATTCAGTTAGTACTAATGTAATTACTCTCAAATAATCAGTGCTGCATTTATTTCTCTATCTAAAATGGACTCATAAAAATAGAAATTAGGTTTTGAATATGAGATCTTTACCCTGGTGGTGGCATTATAAATTTTGGCAGGGATCCTGCACAACAAAAGTTAGCATTACACCATTGCATACCATGATATTTTATTACTGTAGGTGAATTAGTGATCCTTGGATCATGGCAGATTCAAACATGTACAATTTTTCCTATGAATCGCAAAATCATTTGAAAGTCATCAAAGTTGGTTGTAACTCAAATTATTATTATTTGTTTTTCAAGCACCAAGGTACGCAATGGGCTGTCTGTGCTCTACCTACCATGGGTTTTGAATGCCAATTGTAAGCATTATAAGCTTTCAGATTTACAACTGAGTCATTTGGGGGGGCTTCAAATTATTAAGATCCATGAATGTACAGAGACAATAATCTGTAATAATAATTTTCACTTCATATAGGATTTTTGGTAGAAAAAACATGGAGAAGATATAAAAATGTTTCAAGGTGACTTAAAGGTCATTTAATTAAGGTAGAATATAGCAAAACAAGTTGATTTTTTTAAACATTCTTATACTGAGCATTAAAACAATGCTGTTTTGCAAAGAATTTTTAGATATGTATTGGTTATTAATTTACCTGTTTGTAGTTAATGCTTTAGATAAAGAATAGACTTGTAAGTGCAGTAAACAATTAAGGAATTTATAAAAATAATTCATATAAGAATATTAAACAGTGCATTTACATGTATATGCATCTAATGAAGTAAAGCTAGTAGTAATATATTAATATTCTGACTTAATCTGAGACAAACCCAGTCTGGAAGAGACTAACCAGATTATTTGGAACAATATATAGGTCAGTTGAAGGTCATTTCACCAAAACTTTTAGGGTAAACGTTTTTATACTAAGGGGCAGTGTGGGAGGGCATTTCAGTTTGTAGTATAACCTTGGGGACCATATGACCTTGTTTGATTGGGATAGTCCTGGTTTGGACATCTCTGTCCTGGTGTCCTGAAGAGATTTTCTTGGACATATCAAATGTCCCAGTTTTAACTTACTTTTTTTTTATGTTAAGTAACTCTATATTTACCTAAAAATTCCAAGTTTTCCTTAAAACTAGTAATCTACTTTTTGGCTAATATTGTAATAACTAGAAACAAAAAATAAAAAAAAAATTAACCAACATTAATGTAAAGTGTGATTTTAAATTTATATGAACAATATAAATGATACCCTACTGGCCTGTTGAAGTAACTTCAACAGTTACATGATCAGTCAGTGATATGATGTTCTTGGACTTTCCCACCACTTACATTGAACATTAGACTATGAGATCTAGACAGAGTGATGCTTAACAGTGTCCTGGTTTGATCACCTGACATTTATGGTCACCTTGCTATAACACATACTTCAATTGAAAACATCGAGCCTTGAGTAATTGAGGAAAACAATTCTATGTTCCATGTAAAAATGTTACTGTTTATTGCTGAATTACTAAAAAATTTCCTCCTCATCACTATAAAATTGTAAGTCTGTTGATATGTTGGAATGATCAGCATGGCGTGTACGCAGCCCTTTTTATTCACTCTACATTTACGTAACTCTGTGCATAAAAGTTTGGTTTTACAGCATGTACACTTTAGGATGCAGCTGCAGTACACAAGTGCAGTGACTATCTGTGGAGCAGGTTTCAACATCGTAGTTTCTTTCACTTATGTATTATTTTCTTCTTTCTATCCATACTTGCATGATGATGGAAGAGAAGGTTTAGCACAATCAAGCATGAGCTACATCATAGACTGATATGCAGCCCTCCAGATGTGCTGCAACAGAGCGGCTTGCTTTAACTTGAGAAATTTTAAACAGTTGTCATAACAGTTTTGAAAAATCAGTTGTTTTGACCTATATATATAGATGATGAACAAGTTCTTCTGTTGTTTGGTTGGTCGTATCGGTCACAGATATTGTCTTACCAAGTTCAGCAAAATCAGGATCCTTTTCAAAGGTCTAATCAAAGTATTCCAGCAACCCACTTTTCCTTTACCATATATTCTGACCAGTAAATTTGAAAAGATACATGGTAGGGCTACAGCCTTATCAGGACCAATTGCTTAGAAAATTGGTTTAAAAGCAATTTTCCAGTGCTTGAATCCAGTTCTGGTCACAATTGCTGATATTGTCTTATTGATGAAACATAAAAATTGCTAAGACAAAAAGATCTGTGTCAGGAGCCAAAATATCTACTATATAACCATATTTCACATCATCAAGTACATACAGTATCATGACTGTACTAACAGTTAACAACCTTTTACTTATTACAAGGTAGCCTTTAACACTTTATTCTGCTCTGTCATGGTCAGGGATACAAAATTTACAGTATGGTTTCAGTTTTGGTTGGACAAGCGCTCATTTGTTAGTGTTAGGCAATGTAGGAAAAGTATGTAGTTTGTTCTTAGACACAAAATTAGCTTCTGACTGTTTCTGTACACCACTAATTGCTCATTCATCAGCTGTTTTTGAGAACAACCACCACAAATACTATCAGTACACAGCAAATATATAATTACACCTTTAGTTTATGTGGATTTTTTGGAAGTTAAATTGTTAAACCCATAATTTGTTTTGCATTCTGCCAGAATTATTTTCATGATGTCCTAATAATTATCACCATACCTTATAAAATGTCTGGTCTGTTTATAAAAGGTGGATTATAACATGGTTTGGATTAGTTGTCACCCAAAGAGAAATAAATATTATTGGACGCTGTCACCTTTCGATGGGTAAATCGGGATTTTAGGCCAAACACGGGTAGTGTCTGATCAGGTTTAAGGAGTTAAACCACATTTTCAATCACCTTTCGATGGGTAAATCGGGATTTTAGGCCAAACACGGGTAGTGTCTGATCAGGTTTAAGGAGTTAAACCACATTTTCAATCATATTAGTGAATTATCTACCAGTAGATTTAATTAACTTTCATCATCATAAAATACGTTTTCTTAATTTGTATCGTGAACTAATACAGATATCCAAATGTTTCACGAAACAAAGTTGGAAGTTTAATTGTTACTGCAAGTTGCTAGGCAGTCTGGTTCTCTTACATCACACTCAAAGAAACTGTAGACAATCTACAACAAAGATAATGAATTATAAGATATTTCATTACCACATAGATAGATAAACAGGAATGAAAACTAATTCAAGTAATAATTTCCTCTAGCAACATTATTTGATAATCGATAGTGCTTACTTATTTTTCAGATGTGTTAATTTAATATACCTTGAATTGACATTGTATAAACAATTTTGTTAGTTTATACAATCCCAAAAATGGTTAGCAAGTTATAATATTAAAAAGATTTTATATAAATTATCATAAACATAGCATTTTTTTTTCATTTTACCTTTTTGTACAAAACAGTAATAAGGTATATTTAAAAAAATGTATTATATATGACATCAGAAACAGTATTTTTTTTTATCATTTTATCTTTTGGTACAGGACTGTATCATGCATTAGCTGCCCCTTCAGTTAAATTTTTTTTTTTTAATTTCTGTATTTGTTTTTTTTTTCAGTTTAGATTGGATGCAGACAGTCACTCAAATTAAGTAAATAAATTAAATTTCCTTTCTCTGATGCATATGAGGTATGGGTCCATTAATTGGCAATTAGTGTGCTTTCTTACAGGAAAGCTAACTCGTGATACTTTGAGATAGATGCTATCTTTTCTGTCAATGAATTGGATAATGGTTTGGGGCTGCCATACCCTTTCACTCAGATAACAGTGGGAAAAGGTCATGTGTGCAAGTTGCAGTTGTATAAAGAAACCAGATTTGTTAATGTTACTGTTTTAAGTATTTTAAACCAGGTTACCTCCTCTCAGACAGATTTTGAAAATATTTTAGACACTATTTAGATTTTATACTTGAGCGAGGTGTTATTTATATTTTTCATAAGATTTAAACTTAGCATTCTTTTTTGTTGTTTCTTTTTAACATCGGATTTATTTCAACTTTACATTTAACTTTCTTTTAGTGTAGCTTACAGGAGAGCTCACTCTGGACTGTTTGTAACTTTGATTGTTGTTGTGTATGACTGTATGTACTGTATCTTGACTCTTTCTTCATGATGAACTCGGTCAGAGTTGAGAGAGAAGCACAAACATGTACCTTGTGTTAAAGTATACCCTTCATATCCACAGTTAATGGGCACTAACTGACCTCTGTGTAGGATATCCATGTGCCTGGTGATCCACAACCTTAAGTTTATCTTGAAATAAAAACAAATATGTAATATTATTTAAACATTTTAAGGTTGTCTGTTTTTAATGAATATCTTTTATTTCTTGTTTTAACATATAGCATTTTTTCTTTCCTATAATGTAAAATGTGAGATTTTATGGCCAGTATCCTTAAATGACTTTGTGTTCCGAAAAAGTTTTAACCAAATATGCTTGAAAACTTGATACTATCAAGGTGTTAAACCTCCTTAGTTGTTGTTGTGTATGACTGTATTATGTTGTGTATTATGACAGCATGTGAAACTTTTCCCCATCTTCACAAGATCAAACAAAAGTACATTGAATATGTGCAGTTAAATTCTATACATCACACTAAACCGTAAAATCTACATACGTATTGTATTGTAAATATGAAATCAGGTTATATATTTCACAGGAGTTTATGTGTTTATAGCTAAGTTTAGAAAGAGGCAAATTATTTCTGGATACAAGGCAATACACTTGATTTTTCAAATTAATTTCATTTCTTCCTGTTTGTTCTTCTATGCAGGTAACGGACCATCGGCTATCACTTTATCATATCTTTTGGCTGGTAACATGCCTTACTACACTGCACAAAGCCATCCAGTTGGTTTCTTACACTATCGTTTGGAAGGTTTACAGCAATCCATTGTGGACATGGTGTGTATACTTATTTACATATTACAAAAATTATAAGTTTCACTGGGAAATGCTACTTTCTTTGATGAAGTTCATCATAAATGTAACATTAATTGCCACAGTAACTTATTTCACAGATGTATTTAGACCTTGATCTTGATTTTTACTTCATAAATTTTTATATGATGTACATTTTAGCATTAAGTTTATAATAAATGTTTTTAAAAGTTTAAAACTATCTATAAATTTGGAAGTATTGTACTAAAATTAATTTGAAAATTCTTAATTACTCTTGTGTTTTATATTACAGGACACTAAATTTTGATATTTATGCCATTGACACTGATGTTTGTTTTCTAGCTGTACATGTATATTATGAGCTCAGCAAATGTTTTTCCTCAGTCTTTATCTACCTGATGTTTATATGAGATTTTTATTACTTATACTTGAATAATTTAATAATGAATAATTTAAAAATAAGAAATTACACCATATAAAATTACAATAATAATAACCAACACCATGTGTAGAGAACCTTACTAAACCCAACCTAAAGGTTAATGGTTGAATGCTTCTACCATGTCAGTCCCAAAAATGTATTTTTATAAAGTCAAGCACTTGTCAGTAGAGGATGTTTTGGACCATAGTGAATACTCCCAGCCAATACTGATAGGAAATGTATTTATCACATATTTAATATTTAGCATTATAGGTGTTGCACAGGGCTAATAATTAAACAAATGAATATAAAATATTTAATATTCTTTAGTTTCACAAGCCTGAGATTTTTTTTGTTATGGTCAGTAACCAAAACTTATGTGTTAACTAGTATAGGAACATTTCAGAACTATTTCCCATGATACCTCAAACAAATAATATATTCCTCCTTCTTGACTATTTTTACTAATTCAGGTATACTTAAGGCTTTATTAAATGTGATGAAAGTGACTTGTATACTAATGTACTACAGTGAAGCTAGTAATGTGATGTGTAGTTGGATATGTGACGTGTAGATAAACTGTAGTGAATGTAACAATGATACTGCAATGTCAGTGAAGGTGACAAAATATTTGTCACACAATTGCTTAATATAGGATCTGCAGTGGCTGAGTGAAGGACTAGAAGGCCGGTCCAACAATCCTGTGTCTCTACTCTTTGATGCTCTCAGTCATCCCGATGCTGACCTGGGTGTGGAGCAACCATCAGTACTGAGCTGGTATTATCAACCCAGCAAGAAGATTGACCATGTGGTGTTAGGAAAGGGACCTCCTGGTGGAGCATGGCAGGTGAAATGTTTCACATTATAATTAAAACTTGTGTAAACATAATGGACTAGGTCAAAGAAACCAGACTGACCAGAAGGTTAAAACTTGTACACAAAATTCTATGGCATTAGTAATGTATCATCTGTAATATATTACACTCTTTCACGTCAGTTATTTACAGTTAAAACATAGTTAAAAATATGAAACTATGAAAAAAATAGTAATCATTGGACTATTAGTCTTACATCAGTAACGGAAATATTTTATTAAAATCTGATAAAAATGCTTTTCAAAATAATTTAACAAAGTTTAAAATTTTGTTGGATAGTCAATTGGGTTTGACTAGGGGAAAATCTGGTCTTATTAACCTTTTGACATTCTTTGAAGGAGTTACTGCTATATTGATGAGGGTAAGGGTGTGGATTTGATGCATCTGGATTTTTAAAAAGCACTTAATAGGGTGCCACATAAGTCTTGTTAAAAAGTGACATTTATAGATATTGGGGATAAGCTGGCTCATTGAATAGAAAAATGGGTGAATGGAAATAAGCAGAGAATTGTTATAAATGGGGTTCTGACAAACCAGAATAACGTCCCAATGGGGTACCTCGGAGCTCAGGATTAGAAACTTTGTTCTTTTCAGTTTACATCAAAATGACAGATGAAGGAACGCTCATTGAATTACTTGGATTTGCTGATGATATTAAGGAATTGAGTGTTGTTAATTGTGAGGAAAATACTGTTGATTTACAAAAGTATTTAGACTATTTAGTGAGTTGGCTTTTAATTATAATGAATTCAAGGTAATGAAGGTGGGTTGTAATCTAAATTATAAATGTAATTTTTATGGTAACTACGTTTATAGTGTTGTGGTTGACAGTCTTTTAAGCCATCCAAGTAATGTACTGTCATGAGTGGTAGTGTAAATAGGATTTTAGGTTGTATCTACATAAATATTGAATATAAGTCTATAGAGGTTATAATGTCATCGTATAGGTCATTGGTTAGGCCACATTTAGAGTATTGTGATCGGTCTTGGGAACCTTACCTTAGGAAAGTCATTTAACTGTTGGAAATGGTTCAGAAGAGGGCTACTAGGATGAAAAGATTTTTGTAAGAGAACAGGTTGATTTCTCTGAAATTGTTTTCCCTTGAAAAAAAGAAGAGTTAAGAAGGGATTTGATTGAAGTGTGTAAGATTTTAAATGGAACTGATATCGTTGATGCATCATCTTTTTTTGTACTTTGAGAGTGGTTGGACTAGGGGGATACAAATATAAATTTTGGCAAAATAGGAGTCATCTTTGGCTCGAACAGTTTTATATTTTTTAACATGCTGGTTGGCCTGTGAGGTGGGTTGCTTCAGACTTGGTGGATGCAGTAGAGTTAAGGGAGTTTAAAGAAAGGTTTGATAAAGATTTTAATGATAAGGACAAGCTTTGAGGGTTGTTTTTTTTAAGTGTAATGAATGGGGGTGGCGCAGATGGACCAAAAGGTCTCTTGTTGTCTGTAAATTTACGTTATGTGATTTCAGTGATAAATTGATTAGATCATCAGTAGATAATGTTGAAGCAATATTTCAAACTTCAAAAAACTGCTGTGTTCAAAACATTATCTTATTCATTTTTCAATTATTAACCTTGATATCCCTTTATTATTATTATTATACATCATAATTTTCATTATGATATTAATTCGTCTTAATTTTAAGCTTTCTAAGAAATCATTTACACTAAATCTTATCAAGTAGGAGCTAAATCTGCATAACATAATGTATACTAGAATAAATGCATCTAAGGTTAAATGTAGTATAGTTTCAAGTCACACAGTGTTATTCATATTCAAAGTGTTTTGCAGTAAAATATTCTATAATTGCTCTTTATTTGGTAAATGTTTTAAATTAATGTATATATATATATATATATACA